GAAGTCCAATGAAATTTGGTAGGATTTTAAAGTCTATCTTCAATTGGTCATTCTTCATTTGGTCCAATTCAGATTATAATCAAGAATTGATTATACAGAGAGAGACTGAAACACATACAAAAGGAGCATAGCTAATTACTGTTTCTTGTAATGTTCAAAGGAATTCTTAATCAGGCTAAAGTGTTTCTGCATGGAAAAAAAAAGTTGCCACTAACTCTTGTTCTTTGTGTTAACTCTCTGAGACATGTGAGATCTGAAAGGTTCCCATTCTTTAAGAGCAAGTGACAGTCTGAAAGTATTCCTAGACCTGTTCCAGCTCTCAAAGAGTGAGGTGCCCAGAAATGACTGTTAGCCATTTCAACTCATTTTCTTACCTCCCTCTTAGTCTTGGGATACAGTGATGATAATTAGACTTTAAAAAGAATATGGTAGAGCTGGTAAAGCTGTACATAACCAGTAGAGTTGCTTCTGTTTGATGCAACATGGGGGGAGGGGGGTTTAAATTAAAAAAAAATGAGTAACAGGGTATGGCAGAGGTGTATAAAACTGTATATTTTTCTCAGACCAAATCAATCCACTGCACGATTAAGGCTTCTTCCCTGAAGGTTATAGAGTGTAATCTATAATGTTGCTCCCATGCAGGTTGGTAGATAGGTTTTGTTTGACTTCCCAGTCTAGGATTGAAAGAGAAGGACTGGGCCAAGGTTTCCCAGCTGGCTTCCATGCTTAATGGAGGACTAGAATCAGAGTCCCCCCCCTCCTAGTCCAGCACCTTAACCCCTACATCACACTGGCTCTCAAAACTGTACATAGCATGGAAAAAATAGGTTGAGAGACGATTGTCTCCGTTTCTCATAATCTAATCTGCAGAGGGTCATCATATGAAATGAATGGTGGGAAATTTAGGACAAATGAAAGAAAGTAGTGCTTCATACAGCATGTAGCCGTATTATCGAATTTCATTATCACCATGTACACTGATTGCTTTAAAAAATGGATTGGTTTGAAAGATATTTAATTTAATTTGAGTTTAAGGTTATAAATGGCTATTAGCTATAACAACAAATATAATCTCCAGTATCAGATTACAGCAGAATGCCAAACGTTAGGCACCCACGGTCAGTGAATCCACTAAGTGAAGGGATTCATTGAAACATACAAACTGACTAGGGTTGTCTAAATTTTGGCGTGCAGCTATGTATGCCTCTAAATATATATGACGGAAAACATGCACTGGAAGGAATTAGTGTGCTCGCACCTTTCTTGTGAGCTTCCTGTAGAGATTTGGATGGCCATTGTGGGAACAGAATGCAGGACTACATAGCCTCAACTACATGGCTCTTCCTACATTCATATACTAGACACCTTTTTGGGGCTTACAATAATATCTCATGCTGTTCATGTGTACTAGAATATGATTCAATATATAATAGCAATATGAACAAAGGATTATTTGTATAAGAGTGTCCAAATGCATGAGTCATAAGATTTCATAGACAATTTTTTAAAGTATTTTTTAAAAATCCCAGCACCCATACAGGAATTATAAGCATTTGAAATGTTTTAAACCAAAAGGTTGGGTGGAAGAATTAAGCTCCCCCCTCCCATGAGTGGTAGTCTCAGTCTAGATCAGACTCCATTATGCTTAGAATAAATAAAAGAGGGAAAAGTGAGCTGTACAGTGAACATTTTATGTGTTGTGTACTGGAGCCATTAAACACAGTTAAGAATATCTTTCATACCAAAACATTCCTGTATTCTAAACCTAAGCTTGTTTAACCACTGTTTCTTAAATAAATCACAATTGGTTGGGTTTGTTCAGTACAGTAAGTTATACACCAGTGGTTTACAAACCACATGGCTGGATTCTCATAATACAAATGTGTCCACATGTGTAACATCCTATGTTATGCTGCTGTTTGTTGTGTCTATTAGGCCTATATCTCGTTGTGTGCCACAAGGATTGACTATTAAAATATCTGTTGAGAAGATTTTTTTTTTTTTTGGAAAAGGAACTATAGATAACTGAAATGACTGCAAAATCAGTACGTATATATTGTATTACTAACAAATGCTAAGATAAAATATTAACTTTTGTATACAGTCTCTTTCAATAAACCAACAACTAGGTGGTATAAAGTGGGTCTGTCATGTTTGGAATGCAAAAAACCAGATGGCCATTGCTTCCTTCTAATAGTTATCTGGATTTTTGTAACCCAGAAATAGTTGCCTGTATACAAATTCTCAAGGAGAAACTCTACAGAATAGGATTAGTATCCCTGTAGAAAGTTTCTTTCATGGTAGAGTAAATTATACAGATGTGATATAAGCAGTTTACTACAGTGGTATTTCAGAAGCTAAGGTACTTTATGGGAAACTAAGTCAGAATTCTGGTGAATAACCAGTGTTATCATAAAGAGCACTAAAGTCACCTTAGAGATACCTATGGCAGAACAACCTGGTTTAGAGTGGGATTTTTCTTAGTTAAGCGGGATTGTCAGTCTGACAGATGGGTTTGTTTTCCTAGCTGTGTGCAGGATGCTGGATAGCTAAGTCAGATATACCGCCTGTGTGTCTTTAGTTAAGTGTATTTTCAGCAGTTGGGGTTTTTGTCTTGTTTAACCTTCCCTGCTTGTAGTTTTCATGATTCCTCAATGTCATTGGGTTGTTCACTGATTAATGAGGAAGCAAACAGCAAATTGTATTTGATGATGCTGACAAAGATCAGACTCCATCATACTTCAGTATTTTCTACAGTAAATATTGAGAAAATGTATTGATTTTATTCCTTTCATAGTTTTGCACTCTAGATGAACTTAGTTCTGACCAAACAAATAATAGATAATTTTTCTTTACTAGCCAGCTGGCCTTTAAGTGAATATACATAATGGCACCTACTTGCACACTCAAATACAAATAAACAAGAAGAATAAGATTTATAAGATGAGTGATGAATTAATTTTGGCTCTTACTGAGTTCTAATACTAATCCGTGTATTCCAAATCATTATATAGGACTGCTTGAATTTAATTGAGTCTTAGAGGATAAATGCTTACTGTGTTATAACTAATGACCCCCCCCCCTTTTCTTTACATTGACAAAAGAGCAGCACGTTTAAACAGGATTATGGAATTATTTTGGAAAATTGTTTTCAAATTAATTTTATTTATAATCTGTCAGTTTTTCTGTTTATGCATTTAGGTGCCAGAAGCTGAAAACAAAATCTTTTCTTGGCTATCTGACTGTCTTTTTATTCTACCGTGTAGCTCATATAAATATATTTTAGTTGTTTGAATTTCAGTTTGAAATGTTTTGAAGGCGTCCAGAGCATTACATAAATAGAATTGGATTATGTGTAAACAACTTCATGAATTAAAAAGGAGTTATTCAACTTTTAACTTCATTCCAAAGGACAATCATCACTGCTAGCTCTCGATTAACTATTTTAATATGAGCAATATGTTAACTATTTTAATATGTGCAATATGGTTGAAGCATAACATTGTCAGGATATGTCTTAACTCTAGCTTTTTAAGCAAGCCAGTTAAGCAAAGTAATCACAGCTTATTTGGCCACTTCTCATTTGCTCCATTTATTCTGCCAAGAACCAGAAGAAATGGATGTGGTACCAAACAAAAGTTCAGAATGTTGAATTCAGATGTAGTGACAAGCTATGGTTAAAATAAGCTAGGATTTGTAAACTGCTAAACTGTGGTTTCAAATAGTAGTTTGTTGCCAAATAAACTACAAAATTTATCCTAAGGATACGTTTGCATGTCACACAAAACAAGCTATATTGTTGCTTTGTGTTACATCAAACCAGGCCAGTACTACAGTGCTATAGATCATGGAAGCATAGGGTTGGAAGTGACCTGTGGGGAGGGGGGATGTTCTAGTCCAATCTCTTGCCTAGTGCAGGAATCCTCATACCATTCCAGACAAATGGTTATCCAGTCTTTCATGAAAAGTTCCACTGATGGCGCACCCACCACTTCAGGAGGCAGGATGTTCCACTGCTTAATGTCTGTCACAGTCAGGAAACTCTTCCTTATCTCAACTTTGGATCTCTCACTGTAAAGCTTCTACCCATAAATCAGTACTGCAGAAATCTCCCTAATGCTGACATGTACTCTCATGTTGTTCACAAAAGCCAGTTCTTTTCATTCCATTTTGACTCAGAATATAGCATATGTACCTTTGTTATGCAAAATCAAAGCAGTATGCAGATTTATAAACCAATAGGCTTTTCTGCACAATGAGAAGAGACCCTATTTTTCCCCTCCTCTCATGATCAGGTAACAATCCAAGCCATGTCAAGTAGGATATATTCTGCTGTTTAGTGTATACCATCATACAAAGATGTTCCAGTGCCATTGGGATGGCTTAAGCTGGGGTGTGGACACCTGCCCATCTCTGGGGAAGCAGATCTGAATATAGGTATCTTTTTCATAGCAGGTCCCTTGGTTCTCTGGTTTCTGCCCCAGTTTGGTGAACATAGTTCACCAGTTGGAGCCATTTGTAATACCTGTATTTTAGGCGGCAATAGAATCTGATTTCTGAAGAATATATATAGCCAGTTTACTGCTCCTTAAGAGTCATTAGAATTTAGAGGAAACTTGGAACTGCTTAGCCCTCGCTTGTGACTCTTCCTTCTGTGTTGCCGGCATGTTCTGCTTTCTTTTCTTGTTACCTCGCTGATTGCTTAGCTGATTGCTGCCAGGACTGTAGTGGTCCCCACTTACTCACTGTCCTCCTTAATTACCTCTCTGTCTTTTGCAACTGCAGAGTTCAAGTAGGAAGGAAACGGCTTGTCTGTTCTTCCTGCAGGTATAATTTAATCCTATGGCCACTGTATTCTTCTCTGGCACACATGAGAAATGTCAGGATTTGTGAGATTTATTGAAAGAGCAAGGGCAAACTTCCCACAAAACATAAAGTTTGTACAATGATTTATGGAATTGGAAAATAACATACAGAGCATTTGTATTTTATCTCTTTTTCTTCTCTCTCTCCTTCCAGAAAGTGAATATTTTGGACTATTTTTTGTCAAGCTGTCCAGCTGACAAAACAGATGGGAATTGGTGCTATTGAACCTTTCGTCTGGGAAAATGCACTGAATGGGAGATTCTGCCTAATATGGCCGATTGTGACCTTTACCTCTACTGGAATGGACCCCAGTGCATGACTTTGTTACCATGGTGATGATCTTAACTACAACTCTGGAAAACAAAGGTGCTGATTCTCTATCATGCAGGGCTGAACTGGTAAGAGTTCATGTCACCCTGATGACTTCGCTTATAGTAAGGCACTTATGTCTTTCAGGTTACAGGTCTCTGCTCCCGTTTTAGACTGCAACCTGTGGAACTATATTGATTCTGTAGTTCTAAGCCAATTTACACATAATAATGAATGAACAAGAAGAGTTTTGTATGCCCAACATCACATTTAGAGAATGATGTTGCCTTGCCCATAAATGTGTTCTAAGCATGCGAGGATTTTGTTAGCAGAATGGGAGCCATATACAGACACTAACAATCCCTGATAGTGTTTAAGGGATCTTATTTTTAGGGGACCTATTTGCTATGGAAAATGCCTCACCTTAAGCTTTTCTTCCTTGCGGGCATCATGGTTGAATTAGGAGACATTCCCAGTTATGTTCATAATATGGTGACATCAGATTTAATGTGGGTGTGTAACGTGGATGTGTTTCCCTAGAACATTTATTCCTGGATTGCCCTACAATTTCACCAATGATATTCAAAAGCAAAATAGCAGATTTCACTACTGTGAGTTGTGGCATTAAAGAAAAAATAGAGAAAAGATTAAAATGTATTAATATTGCCTTAAAGCCTACCTATCCCCTATCCTTCCCTTTTCCTTCATCTGCAAAGGTTTCATGTTGTAATAAATTGAAATTTCTGTTACATATGGAAGATGCTAGAAACTATAGTTTGTGCAAATTGTTATTAGTTATCAAATAGGATTTTAGTCAGGATCATGCTGCAATTTTGATACAATTGTTAACAAGGCATGTGCAAACTGTAATCTATTTCCTTTTAATTATACTGAAGCAGGAGACTGACATTTATGGCAAATTATGAAGAGATCCTTATAATTTATTTCTTCACATGCAAGGCAGCAGGGAGAGACTTGCAGAAGGGCAAGGCTTGCTGTGATGGGTTCTCAGAACAACTACAGCTAATCCTCAGTTAACAACCACTTGTTCAGCAACCAAAGTTATGATGGCTCTGAATGAGTGATAGTTAGGACTGGTCCTTGAGTTTCCGGCCATTCCAGTACCCCTGCGGACACGTGATCATGATCTGGGCACTTGGCAACCGGCTCACACTTACGGCAGTTACAGTGTCCCACGGTTATGTGATCGCCATTTGTGACCTTCCCTGCTGGCCAAGCAACGTCAATGGGGAAGCCGTCAGGGAAGGTCGCAAGTTACTTGGATAAGTCTCCCCTACCTGGCAGTAGCCACCCCAAGCCTTGCTGCACTCGTGCTGCACCGACTCCCCATGTATCCTCACACTCCCCATCTGGCAGCCGTGCTGTACCAGCCCCCGTACACGCTCATGTGCCCTCCCGACCTGGCAGCAGCTACCCTGAGCCTTGCTGCGCTCAGTCTGTGCTGCACCAGCCCCTCGCACACCCCCACACACTCTTCACCACCAAGCAGAAGCCACTTACCTGCCTTCCAGCCTGCTTGTAAGCCACCTGGGACTTGCAACTTCTTGCCAGCTTCCCCACTGACTTTGGTTATTAGAAGCTGGCAGGAAGTTGTGAGGATGTCCTTGCTTAATGACTGGTGAACCTTGCTTAATGATGGCAAAAAGGACTGCTGGGATTGCCATTGCTAAGCAAAGGGGTCATATGATGTCAGGCTTTACAACCACATTGCTTAGTGATGAAAATCCCGGTCCCAGTTATTGTCATTAACCGAGGACTACCTGAAACTGTGATATGATCTAAAAGTCTACCTATTTTAAAAGTAATAAAAATATCTCCCAATTTTAAATTTATATCTTTTCTACTATTCATTAATATGGAATGGTTTCAAAATATTGCAGTCAGCAGTAATTAGATCTCTAGAGAATATCCACTTCACCTTTCACCCATAATTCTCAATTCCATGATAATTCTATGTATATTTTGTCTCCTTCATTGTTTGTGTTCTCACAGCATAATTAATTTCTAATATGTATTTGTGTATACACATACCCCCCCCCCTCACCTCCCTCCACCTTCC